TTAATGCTGTTTCACGGTATGGTGATAAACTAGAAAAATCACACCACCAGGTAGTACCCATGATTGAAACTGTAGGCACACCAAGCCCTGTTTGAACAGCTCACCTTTGGGAAGCAGACCCTGGGTTAGGGGCTCCGAATCGGCTCCACTTTTCACTACAGCTGAAGTGGCCTAGCCCTTAGCAGAACAGCTGTGCAGAAGAGACCTCATCCCAACCTATGTCTGCACTCGAGGGGAACATCTCCCCAAGGGCTACTTTGAGGTGAAATAGCTTTGTTATATACTGAGCATCAACTCTGTCCTAAAATCAGGAGTTCTCCCTACTCCACCCCAATTTCCAACGGTCCCTCCCTTACAGAGAGAGCTCTCTGGAAGCTGCTGGGCCCCCCAGCCCTGGGGCCTAGACCACCATTCTGGAAGCGAAGGCTTTTCCACCACTAGGACAGACACCACTAGAGTCCTCAGCCTGGATTCCAAGCTGCAGCCGCAGCTGCCTTTCCAGTCCAGCCCTCCTCGCACTAAGTGCTCTGTGCTCCACTCAGCTAGGCCTCGGGCTGCTCCCGAGCTGCTCCTGTGCTTTCCCACCAGCTCAGCTTCACTCACAAAACCCACCCCAAGCCCCTCCTCCCACAGCCTCCCTTGATTCGTCCCAGGACCACACGTGAGCCCTCCCGCCTGTGAACAAGCTTAACCCTAACTCGACTCTCTGCCCTTTTCATGTTCTACCTTAAGTTGAGGTGTTGGTGTGCCTCTCCCACCTCCACCCCTTCCCTTCTACACTGTAACCTCCCCTCTGGCACAATCTGGTGTATTGTTTCCACACCCCTCACACTATCCCGCACGGTGCTCAGTAAATATTTGCAAAGTGAAAGAATAAATCCTCAGGTTTCTGAGCTCAAAATGTTGCCCTTAGGAGACTCGACACCCGCGTCTCATAGCAGGCCCACTGACATTACGGCTGGATAATTCCTTGCTGTGAGGAGCGGGGGCTGTTCTGTGCTTTGTAACCTGTTTAACAACAGGTTACAGGATGTTTAACAACATCCACGTGGCCTCCACCTGCTAGAAGCCAAGAGCAGCATCTCCCCTACCACCCTGCCCCGCCCAGTTAGTACAGCCAAGAATATCTCCAGACATTGCCAAATGTCCCCTGGAGGGGGAACCACTGCCCAGTGGGGCCACTGCTCTCTACCAATAATTCTCAAACATGGCGACATGTTTAGACTCACCTGGACCTTGAGACTCAGACTTGAATTGAGGGGAACCGCGATCCAAATCCTGGCTCCATCACTTACTTTGAAACCCTGGACAAGATGCTTAACATTTTTCAGCCTCAGTTTTATCTTCTTAAAATGAATAAAATACCACTTAGCATGTACAACTGTTGTAACGAGTCAACGATTGATAATGTAAACTTAGTAAGGGTTCAGTCAATCAGATGAGTAAAGTAGCTACTAAGGCAAAAAGGCAATGAGTTGGGGAAAGCTCACTGAGCTTCCAGGTGGCGCAGTTCCCTTTTCTCCACACCCTCTCCAGCATTTATTACTTGTAGACTTTTTGATGGTGGCCAATCTAACTGGTGTGAGGTGATACCTCATTGTGGTTTTGGTTTGCATTTCTCTAATAATTAGCGATGTTGTGCATGTTTTCATGTCCCTGTTGGCCATCTGTATGTCTTCTTTGGAGCAATGTCTATTTAGCTCTTCTGCTCATTTTTTGATTGGAATGTTTGTTTTTTGGATATTGAGTTGTATGAGCTGTTTGTATATTTTGGATATTAACCCCTTGGCAGTCTCATTGTTTGCAAATATTTTCTCCCATTCCACAGATTGCCTTTTTGTTTGTTTATGGTTTCCTTTGCTCTGCAAAAACTTTTAAGTTTGATTAGGTCCCATTTGTTTATTTTTGCTTTTATTTCTTTTGCCTTAGGAGACTGATCTAAGAAAATATTGCTACAATTTATGTAAGAGAATGTTTTGCTTATGTTCTCTTCTAGGAGTTCTATGGCATCATGTCTTATATATTAGGTCTTTAAGCCACTTTGAGTTTATTTTTGTATATGGTGTGAGGGAGTGGTCTAATTTCACTGATTTACATGTAACTTGTTGAAGAGACTGTTCTCAATCGTATATTCTTGCTTCCTTTGTTGTAGATTAATTGACCATAAGTGTGTGGGTTTATTTCTGGGCTCTCTATTCTGTCCCATTGATCTATGTGTCTGTTTCTGTGCCAATACCACACTGTTTTGATTACCGTAGCTTTGTAGTATTGTTTGAAGTCTGGGAGGGTTATGCCTCCAGCTTTGTTCTTCTTCCTCAGGACAGCTTTGGCAATTCAGGGTCGTCTGTGGTTCCATATAAATTTTAGGATTATTTGTTCTAGTTCTGTGAAAAATGTCATGGGTGTTTTGATAGGGATCACATTAAATCTATAGATTTCTTTGGGTAGTATGGCCATTTTAACAATATTAGTTCTTTCAATTGAAGAGCATGGGATATTTTTCCGTTGCTTTGAATCATCTTCAATGTCCTTTATCAATGTTTTATAGTTTTCAGCATGTAGATCTTTCACCTCACCTCCTTGGTTAAGTTTATCCCTAGGGTTTTTGTTTTGTTTGTTTGTTTTTGATACGATATTTTAAAATAAATTTATTTACTTACTTTTGGCTGTGTTGGGTCTTTCTTGCTGTGCACGGGCTTTCTCTAGTTGTGGAGAGTGGGGGCTACTCTTCGTTGCGGTGCACAGGCTTCTCATTGTGGTGACTTCTCTTGTTGCAGATCACAGGCTCTAGGGCGCATGGGCTTCAGTAGTTGTGGCACGCAGGCTCCGTAGTTGTGGCTCACAGGCTCTAGAGCTCAGGCTCAGTAGTTGTGGCGCATGGGCTTAGTTGCTCCATGGCATGTGGGATCTTCCCAGACCAGGGATTGAACCCGTGTCCCCTGCATTGGCAGGTGGATTGTTAACCACTGTGCCACCAGGGAAGTCCCCAATGTCTTTTTTTTTTAACTTTTCATTCTTCAGACTTCAAAAATATGGTAAAAATAATCAGAGTTCCAATATATCCTTCATGCAGTTTTTTTCCAATAACATCATACATAACCATAATATGATTATCAAAACCAGAAAATTAGCAATGATACAGTACTATTAACTAATGTACAAATTTTTAGGTTTTGCTAATCATCCCATTAGTATTCTTTTTTTTTGAATTTTATTTTTTTTATACAGCAGGTTATTAGTTATCTATTTTACACATATTAGTGTATATATGTCAATCCCAATCTCCCAATTCATCCCACTAGTATTCTTTTTCTGATCCAGAATCCAATCCAGGATCTTACACTGAAGAATGTAGGATCTCCTGGTCTCCTCCGATCTAGAGTACTTTGTCAGCCTTCCTTGTCTTCCATGATCTTGACACTTTTGAAGAGTATTGTCAGTTATTTTATAGAATATCCCTCAACTTGGGCTTATCTGATGTTTCCTCATGACTAAATTCAGATTACGCATTTTTGGCAAGAACACCACAGAAGTGACGTTTGCCTTCTCAGCACATCAGAGGCCCACGGTAACAATACTCATTTATGGGTGATGTTAAGTTTGAACACTAGTTAAGGCGGTGTCCATAAAGGTACTATATTCTCATTGTAGTTAATAAGTATCTTGTGGAGAGATACTTCGAAACTATGCAAATAGCCTGTTTCTTCTCGTCATACTTTTGCCTATTAATTTTTAAAATCCATTGTTGATTCTCGCCTACAACAGGTATTACTATAGTCTTAGCCAAATGGTGATTTTCTATTTCCAACATTCCTTCTAAATGTATTAATTAGGATTCTACTATAAGAAAGCGCTCTTCCGGGGAATTCCCAGTGGTTAGAACTCCGTGCTTTCACTGCCAAGGGCAAGGGTTCAACCCCTGGTTGGGGAACTAGGATCCCTCAAGCTGTGTGGTGCAGCCAAGGGGAAAAAAAAAAAAGAAAGAGCTCTTCCTTCTCTCTCATTTATTCAGGTATTCAATTATTTATTTATATAAGTAAATTCTCAGGGATATTTGTGGATTATAATCTATTACTATCCTTATTTATAATGTCATTCATATTGTCCCAAAACCGGCCACTAAGAACTTCTTCAAGTTGGCTTCTGCATCATTTAGACATATCGGGTTTTTTTTTAGCAGTTTCTGACTTTCTGACACCACTAGATGTTCCAGGCTCATCTTCTACTTTCCTTCCCTATCCTTGGAGTCAGCCATTTCTCCTCGGAGCCACGGCTCCTTTCAGGGGAAAATGATATACACAAACCTTGGGCACAAGGTATTGCCCATTGCTACAAGGGCTATTGCATCTAGGCCCTCTGGTGGACAGATGTATGCATACACACACCAATGTACTTTTTTTAGCCCCATTTTATAAATTAGGTAAATGAGGCACAGAAAAGTTAAGCAACTTGTCCAAAGTCACAAAGCTAATATGTAGTAGAACTGGAAAGTCAAAAAAATAATAGATCTACTGCAAAAACTAACAAGTGGAAGTTACTTCTTTACACATGCAAATCAGCAGAAAGCAATAAGACAAACATTCCAGCATAGACACACCCTTTGGGAAATAACTAGAAGTCTGCAATAATAACCACAATAATAACCATCATATACTGAACACCTCCTTGGGCACCAGGCCCCCAGTAGCTCCTTTATTCCTAACAACACTGCAAGGTGGACACTAATATCCACTCTTTACAAACCAGAGAACCAAAGATCGTAGAAGCTAAGTGACTTCTCCCAGGCTACAGAGTTAACTGACAGAGGAAGCAGTTGACCCCAGGTCTGCCTGGATATAAAGTCCATGCTTATTACATTGTATCAATATATTCCAAAACTGATTTTAGGTAGAACATAAATTAGTTTTTACTTTAATAGTTACATGCTTATTTTAATGCATGTTAGAAAAAAATCTAAGCATATATCAAATGGATAATCTCACAAAAAATATTGCATAGAATGAAGATGTTATGTAAATTAAATTTATTTAAAGCAAAAAGTATGAAATAAATAATAGTGGAGGCGTATAAGCTATAGCAAAAATCATTAAGGTGGTCCAAAAATGCCTGACGTTTGGAGGACATGATACTATAGTAACGGCTTCGTTCTCAGTTACACCGTGACATTAGGTCATGTAGGACTGCAGAAAGAACAGCAGAGTAGGAGTCTTGGACCTGGATTTTAGCTCCAGATGAGTCACCATTACCTTTGTGAACTTGGGCATTTCATTTGCTCTCTCTGGGTCTCAGTTTCCTCACCTGAAAATAAAAGGGACAGTGATTTAGTTAATTAGTACAACTCTTTTAAAAGCAACTTGGTAAAGATATCAAGAAACATAAAACAAAAGTTCTTAACTTTTGACCCAGTAATTCCACTTGGGAAGTCTTCCCCGAGACAGAAATCCAACATTTAGAAAACAGTTACAAAGAAATTTATCAATATCCAAAAATAAAACAATCTAAATATTCAACAATGAGAGAACAATTAAGTAATCTGGGGACTTCCCTGGTGGCCCAGCAGTTAAGACTCTAAGCTCCCACTGCAGGGGGCCCAGGTTTGATCCCTGGTCAGGGAACTAGATCTTGCATGCTGCAACTAAGAGCCCGCACACCGCACACCGCAATGAAGATCCCACGTGCCGCGACTAAAACCTGGCGCAGCCAAATAAATAAATAATTTTTTAAAAAGTAATCTGAAGTATGTATACTTGGGAGTGTTATGTAGTCATTCAAAATGTCTGTTATAAATGTTGTAAGACAACACGGGAACAAGCTTATAAAGTGAACAGAAAGAAATTCATTCACATACTGTGGTTACCACTATATTTAAAAAATCATATTCACACTAAAATTCCAACATTTGGTAAGAGTAAAGTTGATTTTGGACTTTACAAATTTTCTCTAATATAGTTATGTCCCATTAAAAATGAATATATATGGAACCTGAAAAAAAAATGCTACTCATGAACCTAGCGGCAGGGCAGGAATAAAGATGTAGACATAGGGAATGGACTTAGGACATGGGGTGGGGAGGGGGAAGCTGGGGCGAAGTGAGAGTAGCATCGACATATACACACTACCGAACGTAAAATTGCTGGTGGGAAGCAGCGGCATAGCACAGGGAGATCAGCTCAGTGATTTGCGACAACCTAGAGGGGTGGGATAGGGAGAGTGGGAGGGAGGCTCAAGAGGGAGGGGACATGGGGATATATGTATGCATATGGCTGATTCATTTTGTTGCACAACAGAAACTAACACAGTATTGTGAAGCAATTATACTCCAATAAAGATCAATTTTTTTTAAATGAAGAAGAAAAACTCATCCGTGTAGGCGTTCCAAGATACCTCATCTCCAAGATACCTTCTGGCTCCAAGATTCTGTGGCTTTTCTCTGGAACCAGAAGTAGAGGTCAGGCGAGAGTAAAATATTAGAAAAGTTTAGACAGCAGGGGCCATGCTTGTTGAAATTAACACCACTCAAAACAGCACATGAGAACATTTAGAAACCAGCAGGTAGGGAAATGATGCAACACCCTCCATCTGTGTGACAGAAAGGGCACGAGTCTGGGAAATAGAGCTGGATTGAACCAGATGCTGCTCTAAGGGCCCTCTCTGGACAACCTGTCCATCCGCTTATCAAACAAACATTTACCACGTGTCTACCATGCGTCAGGAGCCATGTAGCTGAATGACTACTGAGCCATTGGGTCAGAGTCTAGTAAGGGAGAAAGATTTTCAGTTTGCTAGGACCGCCATAACAAAATAACACAGGCTAGGAGACTTAAACAACAACTTATTTTATCACAATTCTGAAGGCTAGAAAGTTCAAGATAAAGTGTCAGCAACTTTGGTTTCTTCTGAGGGCTCTCTCATTGCCTTACAGATGGCCATCTCCTTGCTATTTCCTCACCTGGTCATTCCTCTGTGCATGTACATGCCTGGTGTCTCTTTGTGTGCCCAAATCTCTTCTCCTTATAAGGACTCCAGTCAGACTGGATTAGAGCCCAACCATCAGGTCCTCATTTTAACTTAATCATCTCTTTAAAGGCCCTATCCTCAAATACAGTCATTCTGAGTTATTAAGGGTTAGGGCTTCAATGAGTTTAGGGGGACACAGTTCAGTCCACAACACATTTCAAACAACAAACTTTAAGTGTAATTGTGCAAGGATACAGCTGCATTCAAATGTGATGGGGAACCATGTGAAACCGTAATTAAGTCTGACAGGAAACATGAGCAGCTCCTATACAGAGGAAGCATCATCTGGGCCCATTTCTAGTCCCAGAATCTCTATAAAACATCGTACTTGATTGTCATAAAAATATTTTAGGTATCACAAAATGCGAATAAGATAGCATCAGGTGATAAGACAGACCTGAATGGAGGCCAAAACAGAATGGATTTGTTCCAGAGGAACAAAGGTAAATACCATCCTTTTATAGTTGAATTGGGATTATGGATTCAAATACAACCAAACATGGAGGTCAGGTGAAGTTCCTGACTGGTTAATGGAATAATCTACTCCTTGCTCTCATTCCTTAAGTCTTGAGGATTTTAATGGGGGGAGGATGTAAGGTCTTGATTAACCCCTACTGTTTGTGCTCTTTTCCATCCAGAAGCCATTCTTTCTCGACCTACTTCCAGGTAAGCTTTTTTCTAAGCCAGATTTTAAACTTCAATTCCTTATTCATTTAAAATACTCCTCTCTTGGGTGTGGAGAAAAGGGAACCCTCCCACCCTGGTGGTGGGAATGTAAATTGGTGCAGCCACTATGGAAAACAGTATGGAGGTTCCTCAAAAAACTAAAAATAGAGTTGCCATATGATCTAGCAATCCCACTCCTGGGCATATATCCGGACAAAACTATAATTTGAAAAGATACATGCACCCCAATGTTCATAGCAGCACTATTTCCAATAGCCAAGACATGGAAGCAACGTAAATGTCCATTGACAGACGAATGGATAAAGAAGAGGTGGTACATATACACAATGGAATATTACTCAGCCATAGAAAAGAATGAAATGCCATTTGCAGCAACACAGATGGACCCAGAGATGATCATACTAAGTGAAGTAAGTCAGAAAGATAAAGACAAATACCATATGATATCACTTATATGTGGAACCTAAAATATGACGCAAGTGAACTTATTTAAGAAACAGAAACAGGCTCACAGACACAGAAAACAAACTTATGGCTACCAAAGGGGAAAGGGGGTAGGGGAAAGATAAACTAGGAGTTTGGGATTAGCAGATACAAACCACTATATATAAAATAGAGGACTTCCCTGGTGGTCCAGTGGTTAAGAATCCACCTTCCAATGCAGGGACGTGGGTTGGGAACTAAGATCCCACATGCCGCTGGGCAACTAAGCCCACACGCCACAACTACTGAGCCCGCACACCGCAACTAGAGAAGCCTGTGTGCCACAATGAAAGATCCCACATGCCGCAACTAAGCTCCCACGTGCCACAACACCCGATGCAGACAAATAAACTTAAAATAAAATAAATAAAATAGACAAACAAAAAGGTCCTACACTATAGCACAGGGACCTATATTCAATATCCTGTAATACATCATAATGGAAAAGAATATGAAAAAGAATATGTGTGTGTGTGTGTATAAAACTGAATAACTTTGCTGTACACCAGAAATTAACACAGCATTATAAATGAACTATATAATTTAAAAAATATAACAGGGAATTCCCTGGCAGTCCAGCGGTTAGGACTCTGCACTTTCACTGCCAAGGTCCTGGGTTCAATCCCTGGTCAAGGAACAAAGATCCTACAAGCCACGCAGCGTGGCCTAAATAAATAAATAAATAAAATACATATAAAATACTCCTCTCTTGAAGTTCCCTAGATCCCTGAGTAAAAAAGGAAGAGCAATGGAGCTGTACTGACCTAGTTAGCACAATGACAGGGTACCAATTCTCTTGGCGCCTTTGCTTTCCAGTGACGAAATGATCTGTTTCCTTCCGACATGGGTCACCAGAGGCCATAGGGACCAACGCCAGGCTTCTGGGAGGTGGCTCTGAGAAGGCGCCCAAGAATGTGAGTGCAAAGGTCAGTAATTCAATATTGACAACAGTGATGCACCATCAAGATCCCAGCTTGCTCCACTGAATCCCTCTGAGACCAGAGCAGATGTTATCTGAGCTGACCTCACCCTCTCCGCTCTCCACAAGACCATCACATGCAGCACCAACACTTATTTTCTTTCTGAGCCTTAGGCAAGAGCTGGACTCCTCCAAGGTCCAAAGGGGAGCTGGCTGAATCTCTGGCTGCTCCCTCTCCCTTACCCTTTTTTTCCCCAACAACCCAGGTCTGCCTTCCAAGACCTTCCTGGATGCCATTCTCAACCTTATTTTACTCACAGGTAGACTGAAATCAGAGAGGCAAGTCTTGCTTGAGGTAAAGCAGACACTAAAAAGAAGACACCTAGGTCTTATTCCTTATTTTTCAGTCTCCCTAATGATACCCTGATGCCTCCTCCAAACCTGCCACCAAATTCTTTGCCCATACAGGTCAGGCAAACAACTTAGAGACCCTGGTGCTCATATAACTGGATATCTTCACTGTGCTTGGTTGACCCTTTCCCACACCCACTGCTGCAGTATGAAAATGAATCGAGAGGCAAGGAAGATGGCAAGTAAAGCCCTGACTCAAACATATTAACCCTTCTAAGCAGCAACTCCCTTATTTCAGATTGGTTCCTGAGAGCCCCTGAAAGAAAACTCATGACAGTGCCCAGGCTGCCAAAGAAGCCGTGTCCCTGTAATCATTTCAAGGGCAGAGTGAAGAAAACCAGTAAGTTGCAAAAGAATGACCTTCCTTAAACCAGAGTCACTCTGTGGAATCAACTAGGGCTGAAGCAGGGGTTGTGAAGAGACAAGAGAAATGAAATGAAGACCAGGATAAGCACACTTCTCAGCCCTTTCTACTCAGTGTCAGCTTGTGGGGAAATAGGAAGAGAAAGAAAAGCAAAACGCGATTCTCCTAATACTAGAGAGGCTTAACCAAATTCTTTAATGATAGAATGCCATTGCTTATCAAAGCGGAGGCAGATGGGGCTGTTGGGGACCTGGCCATTGATCTTTGGAGATGACACCAGTGTTGGTGACAAACAGAATTTGATTGCTCCCTAGTCTGTTATTAAATGTCATATAAAAAGTATATTGGCAAATCTTAAACTGATTGATATTATGATATTATCAAGAATAAGATAAATCAGGAGGAGGAGACAAAATGGCAGAGTAGAAGGACATGAGCTCACCCCTTCTTACAGAAACACCAAAATCACAACTAACTGCTGAACAACACCGATAAAAAAAATGCTGGAAGCTACCAAAAAAGATATCCTACATTCAAAGACAAAGAAGAAGCCACGGGCTTCCCTGGTGGCGCAGTGGTTGAGAGTCCGCCTGCCGATGCAGGGTACATGGGTTCGTGCCCCGGTCCGGGGAGATCCCACGTGCCGCAGAGCGGCTGGGCCCGTGAGCCATGGCCGCTGAGCCTGCACGTCCGGAGCCTGTGCTCCGCAACGGGAGAGGCCACAAGAGTGAGAGGCCCGCGTACCGCAAAACAAAAAAAACAAAATAAAGAAGAAGCCACATAACATGGTAGGAGGGGTACAATCGCGATAAAATCAAATCCCATACACTTCAGGTAGGCAACTCATAAACTGGAAAATTATACCACAGAAGTTCTACCACAGGAATGAAAGTTCTGAGCCCCACGTCAGGCTCCTCAGCCTGAGGATCTGGCAACGTGAAGAGGAGCCCCCAGAGAATCTGGCTTTCAGGGCCAGCGGGGATTGATTGCAGGAATTCCAAAGGACTGGGCGAAACAGAAACTCAACTCTTGGAGGGTAAACACAGGGTCTCATGCACATCAGGACACGGGAAAAAGCGGTGACCTCATAAGACACTGGGCCAGACTTAACTGCTAGTATTAGAGGATCTTCTGCGGAGGCAGAAGGTGGCTGTGGCTCACTATGGGGACAAGAACACTGGTGGAGGCAGTTCTGGCGAGTACTCACTGGCATGAGCCCTCTGGAAGGCCATCATTTTCCCACCAAGACCTGCCCCCACCCAATAGCCTGTAGCTCCAGTGCTGGGATGCCTCAGGCCAAACAACCAACAGGGTAGGAACACAGCCCCACCCATCAGCAGACAGGCTGCTTAAAGTCTTCCTGAATAAACAGCTACCCAATAAACACACCCCCTGACGCAGCCCTGCCCATGAGGGACAAGACGCAGCTCCACACACCAGTAGGCAGGCACCAGTCCCCCCAACCAGGAAGCCTGCACAACCCTCTTAGACAGCCTCATCCATCAGGGGGCAGACAGCAGAAGCAAGAAGAACTACAACCCTGAAGCCTGTGGAACAGAAACCGCAATCACAGAAAGTTAGACAAAATGAGACAGCAGAGGAATATATCCCAGATGAAGGAACAAGATAAAACCCCAGAAGAACAACTATGTGAAGTGGAGAGAGGCAACCTACCTGAAAAGGAAGTCAGCATGATAATAGTAAAGATGATCCGAGATCTCAGAAAAAGAATGCAGGCACAGATCGAGAATATACAAGAAATGCTTAACAAACATCTAGAAGAATTAAAGAACAAACAGAGATGAAAAATACAATAACTGAAAAATACACTAGAAGGAATCAATAGCAGAAGAACTGAGGAAGAAGAAAGGATAAGTGAGCTGGAAGACAGAATGGTGGAAATCACTGCCACAGAACAGAACGAAAAAGAAAAAGAAATGAGGACAGTCTAAGAGACCTCTGGGACAACATTAAACACACCAACATTCACATTATAGGGGTCCCAGAAGGAGAAGAGAGAAAGGACCTGAGAAAATATCTGAAGAGATAATAGCTGAAAAATTCCCCAACATGGGAAAGGAAACAGTTACCAAAGTCCAGGAAGCACAGAGTCCCAGGCAGGATAAACCTAAGGAGGAACACGCCGAGACACATAGTAATCAAACTGACAAAAATTAAAGATAAAGAAAAAATAGTAAAAGCAACAAGGGAAAAGCAACAAATAACGTGCAAGAGAACTCCCATTAAGTTATCAGCCATTTTCTCAGCAGAAACTCTGCAGGCCAGAAGGGAGTGGCATGATATATTTAAAGGGATGAAAGAGAAGAACCTACAACTAAGAATACTCTACCCAGCAAGGCTCTCATTCAGATTCAACAAAACTGAAGAAATCAAAAGCTTTAGAGACAAGCAAAATCTAAGAGAATTCAGCACCACCAGACCAGCTTTGCAACAGATGCTATGGGTACTTCTCTAGGCAGAAAAGAAAAGGCCACAACTAGAAACAAGAAAATTACAAATGGAAAAGCTCACTAGTAAAGGCAAACATACTATAAAGGTAGGAAATCATCCTCACACAAATATGATATCAAAACCAATAATCAGGAAAGGAGGAGGGTACAAATGCAGCATATTTGAAATGGATTTGAAATTAAAAGACCACCATCTTAAAACAATCTTGTTTATATATAGACTGCTATCAATATATCAAAACCTCATGGTAACTGCAAACCAAAAATCTACAACAGATACACACACAAAAAAGAAAAAGGAATCCAAACACAACACTAAAGTTACTCATCAATCACAAGAGAACAAGAGAGGAAGGGAAGAAAAAACACCCCCAAAAACAAATCCAAAACAATTAACAAAATGGAAATAAGAACAAACATATTGATAATTACCTTAAACATAAATGGATTAAATGCTCCAACCAAAAGACATAGACTGACTGAATGGATACAAAAACAAGACCTGTATTGGGACTTCCCTGGCAGTCCAGTGGTTAAGGCTCTGCGCTTCCACAGCAGGGGGCACAGGTTTGATCCCTGGTCAGGGAACTAAGATCCCAGATGCCACACAACACAGCCAAAAAAAAAAAAAAACAAGACCCATCTATATGCTGTCTACAAGAGACTGACTTCAGGTCTAGGGACACATACAGACTGAAAGTGAGGGGATGGAAAAATGTATTCCATGCAAATGGAAATCAAGAGAAAGCTGGAGTAGCAATACTCATATCAGACAATATAGAATTTAAAATAAACACTGTTACAAGAGACAAAGAAGGACATTACATAATGAACAAGGGATCAATCCAAGAAGGAGATATAACAATTGTAAATGTATATGCGCCGTTAAAAAAAAAATGTATATGCACCACACATAGGAGCACCTCAGTATATAAGGCAAATACTAACAGCCATAAAAGGAGAAATCAACACTAACACAATAATATTGGGGGACTTCAACACTCCACTTTCATCAGTGGACAGATCATCCAGGCAGAAACTCAATAAGGAAACACAGGCCTTAAATGACACATTAGACCAGACCAACTTAACTGATATTTATAGAGCATTCCATCCAAAAGCAGCAGATTACACATTCTTTTCAAGTGCACATGGAACATTCCCCAGGATTGATCACATGCTGGGCCACAAAGAGAGCCTCAGTAAATTTAAGAAAACTGAAATCATATCAAGCATCTTTTCCAACCACAACACTATGAGATTAGAAATCAACTACAAGAAAAAAACTGTAAAAAACACAAACACGTGGAGGCTAAACAATATGTTACTAAACAACCAATGGATCACTGAAGAAATCAAAGAGGAAATCAAAACTTACATAGAGACAAATGAAAATGAAAGCACGACCATCCAAAACGTATGGGACAAAGCAAAAGCAGTTCTAAGACGGAAGTTTATAGCAATAAAATCTTACCTCAAGCAGAATCTCAAATAAACAACCTAACAAGAATAATTTCAAATAAACAACCTAACCTTACACCTAAAGCAACTACAGAAAGAAGAACAAACAAAATCCAAAGTTAGTAGAAGAAAGGAAATCATAAATATCAAAGCAGAAAGAGTGAAATAGGAAGAAAACAATAGAAAAGATCAATGAAACTAAAAGCTGGTTATTTGAAAAGATAAAAAAAATTGATAAACCTTTAGCCA